CTCCCAAGGCAGCTTCTGTCAAACAGTCAAATTATATTGTTTCAGCAAATTCAACACCAAAGTGCTAACATTTTTCAAAATGCCATTTTCAAAGCATTCATCTGTTCAGTAAAAAATGCTGGGTGAGTTGCGGCAAACAGGACTGCCAGACATCTAGTTCTCAGATAAGGTGAATAAATAATGTGTTTTCATAATTTTGTTCATAGCATAAGCTTCAAGATTTTGAAACTCAAGTTATCTAGTTATGAGGTTATTTATTTGCCCTATTCTAAGTACTTCAATTAATAAAGACGTAATGCAATTTTAAGTACTCAGTTTCCCTAAAGAAAAAGAGGCAGATTGCTGATAGCTTCCAAGAGGATGCACATGTATATATCAAAACAGCATGCTTTTGGACAGACTGGAATGACCCAGTTTTTCTTCTGTTGTGATGGCAATAATAGTATCAAGATCAGTGGACTACAGAAAGATGGCAATAGAAGAGTTTTATTTATTTATTTATTTTTTTGAGACAGAGTCTTACTCTGTCTAGAGTGCTAGAGCTAGTGCCCGGGGCTAGAGTGCTGGGGTGCCAGCCTAGCTCAAAGCAACCTCAAACTCCTGGGCTTAAGCAATCCTTCTGCCTCAGCCTCCCGAGTAGCTGGGACTACAGGCATGTACCACTATGCCTGGCTAATTTTTTCTATATATAGTTTTAGTTGGCCAATTAATTTCTTTCTATTTTTAGTAGAGACAGGGTCTCACTCTTGCTCAAGTTGGTTTCAAACTCCTGACCTTGAGCGGATGCACCTGCCTCCGCCTCCCAGAGTGCTTGGGATTACAGGCGTGAGCCACTGCGCCCAGCTAATAGAGGGGTTTAATGAGATAGCAGTAGTACTTATAACACATTGGTTGAATACAATTAACTAGTTTTTAATTTATTATGTCAACAGTTATAATTAATGCGTGTATTTTCAAACACTTTTCATTTAGATTCTTTTGATATATAAAAAGCCCTAATATTTAATAAAAATACCAACTTTGCCAGGAAAGATGAAAAAGACTAGATATTTTCCTGATTAAAATAGGAATGACTAGTAAAAAAGAACATGAATTTGCCAGTACTGACTTTAAATACCAGCTAAAGGTCTAGATTTGTCTATAATTAGATTTTTGTAGTAAGTTCCCTTTCATTAAACCTACTTTACTTAAAAGGAATTAGGTCAGATTTTTTACAAAGGCAGTGAGAGTACCTGTGAGAGATTTACTCAAATCTTCCATTGTTCCATTTAAAATGCTTCCTTTTGCCTTCTTCCAGCAAGTGCTGAATAATAAAGAGTGACCACAAACCCATGTGTTCTACAATGTTTTTTCACAAAGATTTTGAAGAAAGGGGTAGGTGTGTAAAAGGAAAATCAAAATCTCAGGGCCACTCCCCACAAGGCACTCCTTATGCAACAGAGAAGGCAAAGGCTTCAGGCACCTGTGAAGAAGTGGCCCCGCAGCCCTTTCATTAAGGACACTCCTTGCTGCTCTCCCATAAGGACATGCAAATTGTAACTGATGTCTAGCACCTGAAACAAGTTTATCTTTACAGGTGACAGAACTGGAGACACAGAATCAGACATTCTTCCACCTACCCAGGGACATCTACATAATTGATGCTTCCTTCACTCCCTTTTTCTAACATTCCCCTTATTTTCTATAAAATGTAGATTTCCTGGGCCCCAAAAGAATGTAACCATTTTGTCTCATCGGTTCTCCACTCCCAACCCCCTTACCTTTTCCTTTCTCGCTATATGCCTTTTTTCTTTTTCTTTTCTTTCTTTCTTTCTCTTTTTTGAGAAAGTGTCTCACTCTATCACCTGGGCTAGAGTACAGTGGCCTCATAACTCTCTACAACCTCAAACTCCTGAGCTCAAGTGATCCTCCGGCATCAGCCTCCCAGAGTGCTAGGATTACAGGCGTGAGATACCACACCCGGCCTCTATCTATATGGCTTTAAATGCTGAAGGTTCCAACTTCCCCTTGGGAAAAATAGCCACAAGTCTGCCTGTGGTGCTTGTTTTCCCCAGCCAAGTCCTCAATTTCGCTTAATAAACCTCCACTGATGGAGATTTTTGCCTCAGTCACTGGCAATATGTCATCTGTACTGAGGCTCAAATAGAGGTAACATACAATTTATTCATTCATTCATTCCTCAGAGCATATGCAAGGTACCAGGGTGGGAAAAGAATTTATAAGGCACAAGTCCTTGCTCCAGATTTTCAGACTGGTAGGCGAGATAAGACATATACATACTCAAGTAACTATTAATAGTAAGTGGTATCAGCAAAAAAAATATAAAAAATACTATGACAATTCAGAGAAGGAATGTGAACAAATCTAATCCTTAACCCAGTATGTCTGTGATCTAAAAATGTATCTTTCAGGAATATCTAAGTGATATTCAAAAACTGACTTGCAATTGAAAACAATGGAACTTATAAATTCAGAGGTTGTTAAAATGGCTACATCAAACTCAACGTTTCAATTCTGGCCTTGACTTAATTTAGAATTCTGCCTTCCTTTCTGTCCAACATAATTATTTTCAACAACAGACTGAGAAAACAGTCTTGACCAGGGTCAATCATATCAATTTTTTTTAAGATTTAAAAAGATGTATAATTTTCAAATATACTTTTCCCCCAATTATAAAAGTAAAACATGCTCATTATACAAGTCCAGAGAAAAAAACAGATTAAAAAATTACATTCATTCCTAATCCTTCCACCCAGAGATAAAACTGTTAATTTTATCATGTTAAATAGAAAATATGTAAAATTTAATGAATGTACTCTCTTATAATGAATATTCTACACTTAATTCAAGGGAAAGAAATCTGTTATGTACTCATGACTATGTACTTGTAAAGTTTCACAGATGCTTACGTGACATATAGTATCACAAAAAATCTGAATGTAATGCCATGAATAAGAAGAGTTGTAAACTAAGACTGTTCCACCAGAATGTTGTATAATTGCTAAATTATGAAATTATACCAGAATAAAATAAAATAAAAATTCTGGCCCAGAACACTTGTCAAAATTGCTTAAAAGCTCAATGTAGGAATGCTAGTATATAAAATAATACACAGTGTTTTCCTCTGTGTCTACTTATTACTCTTAAATAACCATAATTACTGATGGAATGTGTGCATCTGGTGGGCACTACATGGCCTCTCAAATCTTGGAACCAGACTGGACAACATCACCCTCATTTCGTGTTCCACACTAATTTTTGTGTGGTACTTGCTTTTTATCACAGCAACTGCCAAAAAACTAACTTTGCAAAGATATGACGTCATCACACGGACTACAACACAATCTAATGCTGAAGCAGGGAACTGCCTTGAACTAGAGGTTCAAGCAGTGTCACAGGCATTGAGTATTCCTGCGTTGCCCTGGTCAGTTTGCTGTGGTGCTCCAGGACAGCTGGCTTGGTACACAGTGGTAACTGTGGGTACGGAGGAACCTTATTCCATTGCCCTATTATCACTAAAAAAGTGGTAGGAACTCCCGAATAAATGGCTATCCCTGAATGATTTGATGCCTCTGGTGTATAAATTGCTGGTTCTTTTATTATAGAGATCCAAATTAAGTCATATAGTATTCCTTAATCATATGTAGACAAAAGAATCCGCCTCCTTATGGATTCCCATGGAACATGGAGCCACTTTTAGATTCTTACTTACTTTTACTCATACAAATGCTTGTTATAATAATCCTACAATCTACCTTTATAACAAATAATCTTGTAATTAAACACATAATGCAAAAGGTAACTGAATATTATTCACAAATAAAATTAAAAATATGTACCATAATTTTTTTTTTACAGGAAAGGAAGAAGCAATAACACAATCCCCTTGGTTTACAGAATAACCTGTCATAGTCATTTAAAAAAGATCTGGTGGTAGGCAGAATAATGCCCTCTCTCCTCCAAATATATTCATGTCAATCTTTGGAGTTTGTGAATATGTTACTTGACAAGGCAAAGGGGATTAAGGCTGAGATGGAATTAAGGTTGATAATCAGTTGATCTTAATACTAGGAGATTATCCCAGAGTAGAATCTGGGTGGGCCCAATGTAATCACAAGAATCCTTAAAAGCAGAAGTGGAAGAGGAGGCAGAAGAGGAAGACAAATAGGGAGCACTCAGAGGGAGAGTAAATATGGAAGAAAGGCACAGATAATGCAATGTGAAAAGCACTTGACCCACTATAGCTGGCTTTTAAGATGGAGTATGGGTGGCCTGCAGAAGCTAAAATGGCAAGGAAACAGATTTTTCCCTTGATTCTGCTCACATTTTGATTTTAGCCCAGTAAGACCTGTGTTGAACTTCTAACCCACAGAAATGTAAGATAATAAATTTGTGCTGTTTTAAGCCACTAAATTTGCATAACTTATTATAGCAGCAACAGAAAACTAATACAGACCCTGAATTGATATTAATAATAATAACAATAGCAATTAGAAGAGCTAAGTAAGCTGGCTATAATATACTTTCAATAGGTATTTCTAGTAAGTTTTATTTTGTGTTAATGATGTAATAAAATTAAATATAAAATAAACCTATAGTTGCTGATTCAAAAAATTTTACTTAAGTGTGCTTTAAACATCATAGCCTTTTGCCTTTGTTAATTTTCCTTACTGTTTAACAATGACTTAATGACTATAACCAAGATAAAAATCTTTATATTATGCTCTGATATAAATTTTAAACACATACATTTTTCCATGCTCTTGTGTCTAGGCTAACAATTATACTTCTTTTCCATATGCAAAATACCAATGAAAATATTTTTAGTTATTTCTTGGACTCTTGTTAGATGGATGATAGCTGGATGACTGGACAAGGGAAATATTTTTGTATATTTAACAATTACTTACAGAAAGCAAGAAAAAGTCCTATTGTCAGTGTATGTATACTTCCATGAAATGAAAACATTTATTCGAAGTTCAAAAATAGCCTGTGTTCACCTGTAGTTAAAGGCAGGTGCGTGATGCTGTTCAGACAGGTCAGGGTGAACCATGTGGATGATAGTGTAGCCCCAGAAAACAGGAGGAGAAGAATTAGTTTCAGCATACCCCGGATAAAATCTGCAAACCTGAAAAGAAACAATGTTCTATTATTAATTCTAGCTGGATTTAAAAATACTATTTAACTCAATGACACACATTCATTAAACATTACTTGAAGAATTTTCCACACATTCTTTTAAAAGTTAGTTTTATGTTTTATTTTTTGACAGATTTCCTAGTATGATGTTACTTTGTGATACATTTTTTTTTTCTCTTACAAAACACCCAGAATGTCATCTCTGCTCAGGATCTATAACTTGTACGATGGATTCTGAGTTTTTAAATGCCATTTCTATTTTCTTTATATTTTTCTATACTTTCTAAACATTCTATAATGAACACATATCATCCCAGTTTTAGAAAGTAGGCTAATTTGTTGATAAAAACTTGCAAAGATGGGTCTCCCACAATTCAAACTCACTACAGAACAAATACAAACGCTCACACCTTTGAGGTGTGGGAGCGTTTGAGGACCTACATGATCTGGTCCCTGCTACCGCTCTCTCTCTTTTCCTTGCTGTTCTCCAGTTGGATGGCCATGTGTCTGTTTCTCATACATGCTAAGGTTGTTTCCCACAGCAATCTGTAGCTTCTATCCTTGTCCCATCTGCCTGGAATTCTGGTACAGTCCCCCAGCCCCCATCTTCACATGTCACACTCTGCTTATCCCTCAGATCATTCAGGTCTTGGTTCAGCATGGCCCTCCAAGCTCCCTGAGGAAGCTCTCCTGTCTCCACTTTCTGTTTTGTTTCTTTGTAGCACTTATGTCTGTCGGAAATTGTTTTGTTTTTGCATTTGTTTGTATTTTGTCTTGCCTACCCGATTGTAAGTTTCCTGGGAGCAAAAATATGGCACCTGCAATAATGAAGATTATTCTGAAAGCTTGGGACTTTTATAGCATTTTAAGTTTTCAAAATCTCAGCTTTTTCCTGAATCAACATGAAATAAAAGTATCGGGTAGAGATACTTATCAATTAGTTATGTCAAAATCATTTTCCATTTGCCAACTGCTTTTCCTCCCCTGCAGATTAATTGTTGATTGTACAGGCACAATCCTCTACACACAATTTATTCTGCACCTACACACAATTTATTCTGCACCTACACACAATTTATTCTGTCCTTCAGAATTATTCCTATTATAAGGAAATTGATCCCATCTCAAATATAACATTTAGCATGTTATTTCCACTTTGAATTTTTAAAAATTGATTTTAATTTCTATTATAATTATGTGACTGCCTTTCTCAACACCTTCAATACTTTCTTCTGTTTTGCACTTATTTGACATGGTTAATCAAGTTTGTAAGCATTTTTTAGACTAAAATGAGAGCTGATCTATGAGAGCTGATGCCATCTTTTGGTGGGAAAAATGAATGCATTTTTGCCCAGTGACTTAGGTTTTTTCTTATCTACAAAGTTCACAAGCTGAAAATTCTTAAGTACTCTGAAAAAGGTTCTGTAGTTTGATAGAAACATTCCTCAAGAAAATCCAAAAAACTTTGTTTTAATTCCATGCTTGTCAAACACCTCTGTGATTTACATTTGAGTATGCTATGTAAACTTATTTTTCAGATAGGTAGATGACAAAGTATGAGAGAACAAAATAGCATTCTGGTACAAATCAGAGTTGAACTGCAAGATACAAGAATAAACTCACTGCTGTAATCTGCAATTTTTAGAGACCCAGTCCTTTCAAATAGACTGATACCATCAAAGTATATTATTATAACCAAATATTACCTTTAATAGTGGCCTTTAACAACATAATTACCAAAAAAAAAAAAAAATACCCAAAGCACTCACCTTTGAGGAGATTCTGTTCTATTGAATCCCAAAAATGGTGTTAGGAAAATAATTCAAAATTGATTTTAGGCCTAGGAGATAACTAAAATTGATTTCAGATCCCACAGTTAGGAGAGTATTTTTCAGAACTTCCATTTTAAAAAAATTAAAAGCAGAAATATCCTCATTCTAATTGCCCCCCTCCAATTCCATCAACATAAAGTTAAAATTAAGGGGTATAGAAAGAAAATAAAGCATGTGAGATGTCATTTTTGATACATAATGGTTCCCTCTTTGACCTATTTGGTGCTCAGAATATGATCTGATCAATGATGACTCATTGTAATTGGCTTGGAGATTTAATTAGAAAAACTAGGTATGATTCTTGTCAAAATGTGACAGGTCAATGTATTTCAGTATCAGTGATTTCCTACAAATAGTATTGTGCTATCCCACTTCTTTAGCTTTATATTCTATGCTTATATTTTCTTAACTTATAAAAACCTAAAATAAAGTGATTTAGAAATTACAGTATCAATTTATTCTTTCATTATCCCAGGAACACTATGCAAACTGTAAGGTCTACATATAATATTATCTGTGTCAATTATGTTTAAGTATTTAGATACTGATGTGATTTACATATCTTATTTGATGTCCTTAAATATGTCATTAGATTGTCTTCTTCCTGGTAAAGTTGATTGCCTAATTTTTTTTTTTATTAAACAGGGTATAATGATTTAGGAAGTGAATGAATATTATCTCTTTGGAAATACCAAGAGCAGTTTCATAGGTAGATACGTAAAAGAGTGACATTTTCATTCTTTTTCTTTTTTCTAGAATGAATGAGACTTTTTTCTTTCTTCTGACTCACTCTAAAAATGTGTTGTCATAATAGGTTAAGATCAAGGAGAGTTTGATGAAACTGGAAGTCTTTGTAGACATTTTTCATCAAAATGGGATAACCATAGGGACATACCTGCCAAAAAAAAGAAATAAGTGTCTGCTAATCAGGATACTGTCTTTTCGTGGAAAGTTCTAGAGATGTTCTTACAAATTATTCTTTTCAATGTTTTTCTAGTCTCCATCACTATTAATTGGCGTTTACTGGCTCTATCACATTTCCTTGGGTTCTATTTATAGACGTTGTTCTCTAATAATATGGAGAGAAGCAGCTTAATTACACTGGAAATATTTTTCCAATTTCCAAAAGAAATTTTAGGAAGGACTACTTCTGAGAAGGTTTCTTACAGCAGCAAATTCTATCCATTGCATATGAATTTTCCTGCAGCCTGAACAAGTGCCCTTTTCTGACCTTTGCCTGTTTTATTTTTAATTTTTAATTTGAATTTTAATGTTTATTTAGGGGACCCTATTTCTCTGAGCTTTTTTTCTCTTCTGTCCACTTACATGTTAAACACAAAATATTCTCACCTTGCCATAGCTATTCCAACCACACAGCCTCCAACTATGGACCAAAATCCAATCCAGCCAGCATCTACCTGTTAAGAAAGTAGCAGATACACTTAATATAAGATTATCACATTGCAATTTAGAAGAAATGAAAAAAAATTCCTCTAAATCAATGTTAAGAGCTAAATGGCAACAAATCTAGGAAACAGCATTTAAAACATGGATTCATACGTGACTAATCAATACAAGTTTACTAAGTAAATATGCCCTTCATTTACTTTTTATTTAAGTATTTAAATCAACAAAATACTCAGTGTCATCAAACAAATGTTTCAAGTTATTACATGCCTAACATTGTGGAAAGAACTCAAGAAAATAAGAAAAGAATGAAAGACAGTCACTGACTTCAAAAAGTTTAAACATAACCAACATACATAAAACTACCAGGAAATAATTAGGTGCTATAACATCTGGCAACAACTAAAAATGTATTAAGTAGATGGGGGGGGGGAGGGAGGGAGGGAGGGAGGGAGGGAGGTGGGGGTGAGCAAGAGAGTGGATCCAGAAAGAGAAGCTGAGCTGGGTTTCAAACATAGCTTGTTTCTCTCTTGAGAAAATGTTTCTAGCCCTGCAATTTACTAGCTTTGTGACTCTGGGCAAATTATGTCTTCTTACCTATAAAATGGATTAAATGAGATAATTTGTGTGCAGGACTTAGATCCATGGCCAGCAGACAGGAAGTGTTCAATAAACATGAGCTGTTATTATTATTACCTGATGCTTCTCCATCTATCTTATCTCTTTCTACCTTCATGGCCATACTTCTTCAGAGAAATCTACAAATACTGCCTACATTTCCTCAACACTTGTGTACCTTTAACTCTTATTATGACTTGGATTTTGTTCCAACTCATACTCAGTTTCTGCATTAGTAGAATGGGGATAATAAAGTTTTTTTTGAGGGTTAAATAAGTTAATAAACGTAAAGTGCTCAATACATGTTAATTGTTGCTATCATTGGAATTCCATGTGTCCCTAACAATACTGTTACGTTTTGTCTCCTCTTCCCCCCTCCTGTGACTATCACGTTTAATTTTAGTATCTTATTTCTTACTTCTGGACTCCTGTAATAGCTCCTTAAATGGTCTTCACAATCTATTTTGCCCATTGTTGTCAGAATAATTATCCCAATCATCCCACTTCCCTGCTCGGAAATAGTCACTGGCTTTTCTTGTGGCTGTAGGACAAAGTCCAAACTTGACCTGGTACTTGAGAATTGACCAAACTAACTTCTACCTTTTATTATTTTTTGAGTCATATTTTTCATTACACTTTTGACAGGGATTGCCAGCTGTCTGCCAAATTTGTTAATTTCTCCTACCTGGGTACTTAGCTAGATTACACATCCCTGTTCTTACTTGGTACATGTGACTAAATTCTCATTAACACACTGACTGTCTCACTAGAAAAAAAATTTTCCCCCCCTCTGGGGCCATGGTATTTTATTAAAACAAAATAATTCTTTCTAATTTGTTATGTTTTATTGTTTTCTGTGTATGAGTCATATGCAACACAATCCATGTTTTTAGAATTAAATTGTCAATATTAATTGTAACAATAAGAATATCAACAGGCTGGGCGTGGTGGCTCACGCCTGTAATCCTAGCACTCTGGGAGGCAAAGGCGGGAGGATCGTTTGAGCTCAGGAGTTTGAGACCAGCCTGAGCAAGAGTGAGACCCCATCTCTACTAAAAACAGAAAAAAAATTAATTGGCCAACTAAAAATATACAGAAAATAGCTGGGCATGGTGGCACATGCCTGTAGTCCCAGCTACTTGGGAGGCTGAGGCAGTAGGGTTGCCTGAGCCCAGGAGTTTGAGGTTGCTGTGAGCTAGGCTGAAGCCACGACACTCAAGCTAGTCTGGGCAACGAAGCGAGACTCTGTCTCAAAAAAAAAAAAAGAGACATGAAAAATACCACTGCTCAGGCTGGTCTCAAATGGGTACCCTACCGCTTTGGCCTCCCAAAGTGTTAGATTAAGGCATGAGCCACTGTGCCTGGCTAAAGAAAGTTTGAAAGTAAAAAAATATAAAAAGATATGCCATAGAAACACAACCAAAAGAAAGCTGGTAAAACTAATGGGTTTTAATGCAAAGAGTATTACTAGAAATACTTCATACAGATGAAAGGTTCAATTTACTGGGAAGATACGACAATTCTACGTTTATATGCACTTAATTACGTAGTCTTAAAAATATATAAAACACTGACAGAAATAAAAGGGAGAAATAGACAAATTCATAATAACTGTGCAGGATTTTAACTCTCAGTAATGGTACAACAAGTAGACAAAAATGAGTAAAGATATATGAATAGAAGGTGTGAACAATACAATTAACAGAATTGACCTAATTGGCACATATAGAACACCATACCTAAGAATTATAGAATACAATTGACCATAAAGTGGGTCAACAAGTTTGAAAATACTGAAATCATTGAGTATATCCTATGATCATATTTATGTAACTTAGTTAGAAATTAACAACAGAAAAAAAACTAGGGAATCTTCTACAGTTTGTAGATTAAGAAATGCCCTTCTAAATAATCCACAGTTCAAACAAGAAACCACTGGAAACAAGAAAATATTTTAAATTGAATAATAATGAAAATGCTACTTAAACACTGAATAAAAAGTCACTAGTGAAATTGTTCAGGGAAAAAAATAGGAGAGATGATACAGAGAATAGAATCTGGAATGACTTATCCTGGAGACATAATAAAATCATAAGATGACAGATACTATGAAGAACTTCTTGCCAATAAAATTTCAAAACTGAGATGAAATAGTCAAATTCTAGAAAGGTACAACTGACACAAGAATAAACAGCAAATATGAATCATTTTATAACTATTAAAGAAATTAAATTCATATTTAAAAATTTTTTCACAAAGAAAATGAGATGGCTTCATCAGAGAATTCTATCAAATATTTAGGGGAAAACAAAACATCAAAACCACCAATCTGGCCGGGCGCTGTGGCTCACGCCTGTAATCCTAGCTCTTGGGAGGCCGAGGCGGGCGGATTGCTCAAGGTCAGGAGTTCAAAACCAGCCTGAGCAAGAGCGAGACCCCGTCTCTACTATAAATAGAAAGAAATTAATTGGCCAACTGATATATATATAAAAAATTAGCCGGGCATGGTGGCGCATGCCTGTAGTCCCAGCTACCCGGGAGGCTGAGGCAGAAGGATCACTCGAGCCCAGGAGTTTGAGGTTGCTGTGAGCTAGGCTGACGCCATGGCACTCACTCTAGCCTGGGCAACAAAGCGAGACTCTGTCTCAAAAAAAAAAAAAAAAAAACCACCAATCTTACACAAACTCTTCCAATAACAGGAAAAGAGGCAATACTCCCTACATTGTTTTTTTAGACCAGTATAAAACTTTGTTACTAAAATTGATACAAAAATTGACAAGGAAAAGTACAAGAAATAAAAAAACTATTGTCTAATCTTGTTCATTAATTTTATTGCAAAAAATAGGAGCAAACTGAATTTAGTGATACATAAAAAGTATAATAAATCACTGACAAATTGGCTTTAGTCCAGGAATGCAAGGTGATTTAACATTTAGTAATCAATAAATGTAATCTGCCATACTAATAGTTTAAAACACAAAAATAATATGAGCATCTCAATGTTGAATTTTACTGAATGTCTTTTTGCCATCTATTTGTCATTGGTCACAATTGATATGGCTATATATATACAGAGGCTAAAATACTTATTAGTAAATTAATATAATAAAAGTAAATGAATTAACAAGGTTGTCAGATACAAGGTCATCTGTATTTCAAATTACTTGTAAAAATCACCTGTATTTCTGTATGCCAGCCAACAACTGGAATATAAATAAAATTTTATAGGCCAATGGAACAGAGAACCTAGAAACAAATCCATGCACTTGCAGCCAACTGTAAGTTTTTGACAAATTAGATTCCCATCTTTCACCATATATAAAAATCAACTCAAAAGAGATTAAAGACTTAAATGTAAGACCTGAAATTGTGAAACTACTGAAAGAAAACATTACAGAAATGCTACAGGAGATTGATCTGGACAAAGATTTTTTGGCAGAAGACCTCAAAAGCTTAGGCAACAAAAGCAAAAATAGATAAATGGGATTACATCTAGCTAACAAACATCTGCACAGCAAAGGAAACAATACAGTGAAGAGACAATTTACAGAAATACAAATATTTGCAAACTATCTATCTGACCAGGGATTAATAACCAGAACATATAAGGAACTCAAACTAAATAGCAAAAAACCAAATAATTGGATTTAAAAATGAGCAAATGGCCTGAATGGACATTTCTCAAAAGATAACATATAAATGGCCAATAGATATGTGAAAAAATGTTCAACATCACTAATCATCACAGAAATGCAAATCAAAACCACAATGAGATATCATCTCACCCCAGTTAGAATGGCTACAATAAAAAAGACCAAAAATATAACAAATCCTGGTGAGGATGCGGACAAAGGGGAACCCTAATACATTATTGGTGGGAATGTAAAGTAGTATAGCCATTTGAGAAAACAGTATGGAAGTTCTTTAAAAACCCAAAATTAGAACTACCATATGATCCAACAATCCCATTGCTGTATATTCATCCAAAAGAAAGGAAAGCAGAATATTGATATCTGTATTTCCATGTTTATTGCAGTACTATTCACAACAGCAAAGATATGAAATCAACCTAAATGTCCATCAATGGATAAATGGATAAAGAAAATGTGAGGTATGTATACACACACACACTGAAATCTTATTCAGCCATAAAAAGAATGACTCCCATCATGTGCAGCAACATGGATGGAACTGGAGGTCATTATGTTAAGTAAAATAAGCCAGGCACAGAAAGACAAATATTGCATGTTCTCACTCATATGTGGGAACTAAAAAAATGGATCTCATGGAAGTAGAAAGTAGAATGATAGTTACCAGGGGTTGGGAAAGGAAGGCAGAAGAGGGGGATAAAGAGAATTTGGTTAAGAGGAACAAAAGATACAGTTAGACAGAACGAATAAGTTCTAATATTCAATAGTACAAGTACAGAAATTATACTTAATAATAATTTGTTGTACATTTCAAAATAGCTAGAAGAATTGTAATGTTCTCAACACAAAGAAAAGATAAATGTTTGAGGTGATGGTATCCTAATTACCCTGATTTGATCATTACACATTATATATATAGGTATCATATAGGGTATTATATATATAGATATCATTATATATATAGATATCATAGGGGATATCACATGTATCCCCTCAAAATATGTACAACTATTACATATTGATTAAAAAATAAGAAAAGGAAAATAAAAATTTAAAATAGTTACCAATTACAATAGCTTCAAAAGTATCAGATACCCAGGAATAAATCTAACAAATATATAGAAGGTATCTTTGAAGAAAATTATAAAGCATTATTCAGATACATTGGGACCTAAGTAAATGAAGAGAAATATAATTATCATGATTGGAAAACTCAGTATTATACAGATGTCAACTCTCAAATGATGGACAGATTTAAAAGACTCTAATGAAAATCCCAAAAAGGGGAATATTTACTAAATACCAAAACTTACAATGCTGGAATAATTAAGACAATTTCTAGTGCTCTGCCCTTTGTATGTGCAGGCTATTTCCTAGCCAAGACTTACTGGAGACCCCACAAAATCTTCTGGGGTGTCCCCTTCTACACATCTCTCTTCTTTATATATCAATAAGAAAAGGGCAGCCCAATAGTGGGAAAGAGACTTGAACAGATATGTCATAAAACAAGAAATTCAAATATCCAATTCACCCTGGAAAAGATACCAGAGAAGTCACTACAGTGGTATATAACTGCACAGCTACTGGCATGTATAAGATGAAAAAGATGAACATTACCATATAACCAAGTGCTGGTAATGATGTGGAACAATGAGAAATTTCATGTACTACTGATAGGATTGAAAATGGGTATAACCACTTTGGACAAGTTAGGCATCATCTACCAAAGTAGGCATACAATATAGCCAACAATTCCATTCCTAGATAAATATCCAATAGAAATGTATATAGAGGTACATCAAGAGACATGTATGAGAATGAATGTTCATATAGCACTGTTTGTGAATGTCAAAAATGGTAAATGATCCAAATGTTCATGAAAAGCAGAATGGACCAATTGTTTTTTATTCATACCATAGAATACCATACCAGTGTACTGGATTTCTTCCATTTGTCTTTCTAAAATTCTCTCTACCCCTTTCTACCATGCTATCTGAAAGCAGAGAAGGAATGGATGGCCTCAAGCATATAGGTGAAATGGTTATTTTTAAAGAAATAAGATACCTTTATTCTGAGACCAGAGAGAAAGAAAATAAATGTAGGAATAGCTATATATTTAATGATGGGATCTTAATCTTTATAATGGATGAAGCAAGGATAAAGGATGGAGTCAACAAAACTAACATTTTTTCCTTTTTTTTTGTTGTTAATCAACATCATCAATAATGCCCAAAGGAAAGTGAAATTCATGGTAGTTATCAAAATCAAGGGAGAAAAATCACATTATTTTCAACAGTCCCATAAAGATCTTGCTTTTGCAATAAACAGGACAATGTTTTACCCAGTCTTTGAAGCAAAAACTAAAAACATGTAACCACTACTTATAAATTAAATGAATTAAACTACCTACAACATATAAAGAAAATACTTACTTGGCTAACATGCACTGGTGTTAAAATTAAGTCCAGAACTCCAGACCAGCCAGCAAATACACCAAGTGGTATGGCATATGCTAAAGCAATCATCAAAAATCTCAAATTGCTGTGAAAGAGAAATAAAACATTACAAATTAAAAATCTAGAATTTAAATTTTACTCATGAAAAATAGAAGTCATTTGGAAACTGGAACACCTGAATGAGAAATAGAAAATATCTGTTAGTTTGTCAATAAAGTCAAGCATCGTCAGATTTTTAATTTTTATGAGAATAATCTTTTTGTCCATATTGTTTAAAATTATTGATGTTTATTATATAAATAATCAATATTATTTCATGGAATGAGTAAGTAAAAAAAGCCCAGTTAAAAAAAGCTCTTATTAAAAGGATAAATTACTATTTCACCTTATGAACAAGGTAGAAGAAAAAGAAAAGATAAAAAGAAAAGTATAATTTGTTAGTTGTATTATTTTCAGATAGCAGCTTTCATTTTTATTAAAGTTGTATTAATAAAAAATTTCAATAGGCAACACAATTCAAATGGTTCAAAACTGAAAGGTCATTAAAATATGGGGAAAAGTCTCCCTCTTACCTCTTACCCCTATTTCCCCCCCCCCACAATTACCAATGTAATCAGTTTCCTGGGTAAATGCCCCAAAATACTGCATAAATATATAAGCCAATATAAATACATATATTTTTTCTTTCTCCAACTTTTTCACACAAATGATAGCATATTATGACCATTTGCTGAACCATGCTTTTTTTAACTTAATAAGACTTAGCGTTCTTCCCATAATCAATACATAAATAGCTTTCCCTTCTTTCCTACAGCTATGTAGTATGTCAATGTATCATAAATTTACTTAACCAGATACATACATAAAATTTTATTATTTTGCATGTGTGCTTGTACACCTGTAGGACAGATTCCTTGAAGTGCAATTACCACATCAAAGAGTATGTGTATTTGTAACTTTAATAGATATTGCTAACTGCCCTCTATAGAAATTGTACCTCTACATACCTATCAAAATGTCTAAAATAAAAACAATGATAACACTGAAGTCTGGCAAGGATGCACAGAAACTGGATCACTTATACATTGTTCATAGTAATGAAAAATGGTACAAGCACTCTAGAAAACGTTTTGGCATTTTTTTTTTTTTAAACTAAACATGCTACTACAGGTTGAGCGTCCCTTATCCGAAATGCTTGGGCTCAGAGTGTTTTGGATTGTGGATATTTTCAGATTTTGGAATATCTGCACTACACTTACCTGTTCAGTATCCCTAATCTGAAAATCTCAAATCCAAAATGCTGCAATAAGCATTTCCTTTATGTGTCATGGAGCTTAAAAAGTTTTGGATTTTGGAGCATTTCAAATTTCAGATTAGGAATATTCAACCTATACCATACAACCCAGCAATTGTACTTTCAGGCATTTATCTCAGAGAAATAAACTTACTTTCACACAGAAACCTGTATACAAATGTTTACAGTGACTTTATGTATAATAGCCCCAAACTAGAAACAATCCAGGTATCATTTTATAGGTAAATGGTTAAACAAACCCTGGTACATCCATACCACGAAATATTACTTGGCAATAAAAAGGAATAAACTACTGATACATGCAACAACCTGAATTACTCTCCAGAGAATTATACTTAGTAAAAAAACACCAATCTCAAAATTTTATATATTACATGAGTTCATTTATATAACCTTCTTGAAATGACAAAATTATACTAATAGAGAACAGACTGGTGTTTGCCAGGAGTCAATGGGTAGAGTGGGAGGGAAGTATAATAGTTGTGACTATAAAAGGGCAAGAGGAGAAATCTTTGTAGTAATGGCAATGTTCTGTGTTTTAACTGTGTCAATGTCATTTTTCTTACTGTGATATTGTGCTATAGTTTTGCAAGATTATCACTGGGGGAAACTAGGTAAAAAATACATGTAATCTGTATTCTTCCTTTCCTTCTTTCCTCCCTTCCTTCCCTTCATGCCCCCCTCCCCCATCTCTCCTTCCTTCCTTCCTTCCTTCCTTCCTTCCTTCTTTCCTTCCTTTCCTTCCTTTCCTTCCCTTCCTTCCCTTCCTTCCCTTCCTTCCCTTCCTCCCTTCCTCCCTTCCTCCCTTTCTCTCTTTCTCTCTTTCTTTCTTTCTTTCTGAGATGGTGTTCTTGCTATGTTTTCCCAGGCTATAGCGCAGTGGTTATTCACAGGTGTCATCATAATACACTGCAGCCTTGAACTCCTGGGCTCAAGTGATCCTCCAGCCTCAGTCTCCCAAGCAGCTGGGATTACAGGTGGTGCCACTGTGCCCAGCTCTGTATTTCTTACAACTGCATGTGAATGAATCTATAATGACCTCAAAATAAAAAGTTTAATTTTAATTTAAAAAAATGTAATGAAAATTGGGTGCCATTCGTGATAGCTATTTAAAAAACTATAAACTATCTAGGAATAAACCAGGAAGGCCCAAGATCTCTATTGGAAAAACAAAACAAAACAAAAAACCTTTAATCTAATTAAGGGCATGGAAGACAATCTAAACAGATGGAGATTATTGCACCTGATGATACAAAAAGACAAATATTGCATGTTCTCATTTATATTTGGGAGCTAAAGTATTTGATCACATGTAGGTAGAGAATGGAAAGATAGCAGAGCCTAGGAAGGGTGATTAGGAGGGTGGGAGAGGATGAAGAAAAGTAGGTTAAAAGGTACAAGCATATAGTTACACAGAAGGAATAAATCAAGGTTTGATATCACAGTACAGTGACTATAGATAAATAAAAATGTATTATACTCAGGTGATGGACTTGATCACTATATATTGTATGCATGTAACAAATTTTCATGTGTACCCCATAAATTTGTACAAACTAAAAAAAAATAAGAAACATCTTTGGAAGTAAACATTGAAAATAACTAAATAAATAGATGGAGAGACAGCCCATGCTGTCAATTCACACCAAATTAATCTATAAATTCAATGCAATCACAATTAAAATTCCATTTTTATATTTTTCAAGAAACTTGAGAAATATGCTCCAAAATAGATAAAGAATAAAAGTCCTTAGAAATCTAAGTCATCCTTAAACAAATATAAAACAGGAAGCTTTTGTCCTATCAGATATTAAATTGCAATGGGCAGAGTAATAAATGCAGGTGGTACTGGCTCAAGAACAAACAGATCAATGGAGAAGAATAAAGAGCTAAGACACAGAAACTCGATATACAATAAAGGTGAAACTACAGATCAAAGGGCTAGGGATTGTTTAGTAAATGGTGCTGGTTCATTTTAGAGAGGAAAAACATCCCTGTATCACTAGTTAACACCACATACAGTGGTGGATTCTAAGTGGGATGAAAACCTAAATGTGAAAGACCAAAAAGTTAATAATTAAGGAATCCATGGACAAAATTAATAGGTAGATGACTGAAGTGGGAAGAGATATTTGAAATTTTTTAAATCAACAAGGAATTTACATGTAGAATATATAAATCATTAAGAAAAAGATAGCAACTACCATTAAGAAATGGGCAGAAACTATGAACAGGAATATACGGTATATGAAATCTAAAAAGCTAACACAATAGGTTCTTACATAATGAGTCTCAAATTTTTAATAATCACAAAATGCAAATTGAACAAATGATTTATTAGTTTATACCCATTACAATGGCAAAAATTTGAAAGATGGATAATGTAACTTGTGTGGACGTGTGGGGACATGGCCACTGCTGATGGAATTATGGATGTGTCCAGACATTTTTGAGAGCAATCTGGCAATACTTGGCAAACTGAGTTTAGACTATCTTACGACCTAGCAATACTATTGCAGGGTCTATTTCCTAAAGAAATTATTAGGTCTATGGTGACATGCATGAGGATGTCACTGCAGTAGTGTTTGTGGTGATAATGAATTGGAGGCAATCCGGGTAGGCAATAGGAGTAGGTAGATAGAATGTGAGAATATAATAAATATAAAGAACTAGGTGTACACTGGTGTACTAAGTATAGAGAGAGAGAGGGACAGAGAGAGAGAGAGAGATGGGAAAGAAACTATAGATTATGATGCTGTGAACCAAAGTAGATTATAAAGCATTTGGACTAACTGCAATGTATGGACCTAATCTGAATCCTGATTCAAACAACTGTTAAAAAAAACACTTTGAAACAATTAGAGATTTAAATACTGATTTATATTAGCAAATTATTGTTAAAAATAACAATAATCTTACCTTTTTAGGTAAGATAATGGTATTATATTTATGTTAAAAAAGAGTCTCTATATTTTTAACTTGTGCTGCCTATATGGAAACATTTCTGGCTAAAATGAATTGTTATATGGGATTTGTTTCATGATACAGAAAAACAGAAAGTGGGAGGAAAACAGATGAAACAAGACTGGTTGTAAATTGATAACTGTTGATATTAGGTTATGGGGATTATATTCTACCTTTGTATATTTTGTAATATCCCAAAAGGAAAAGCTAAAATGAAAAGGGCTTAGTGAAAAAATTCAAAGATATATAATATGCCATAATTTAGATAAATTAAAGAGATGCATATAAAACAATTCATGTATTGCAAAAGCACAGAGACAAGGAGATTAAAGTCATTTGAGAGGTGACTTGGGAGAGGAAAGAGAAATGAGTAAGAAACACAAACCAAAGAATGAAAAAGAAACAAATGAATAAATGTGTTCAGGTGCCCCGAAGTAAGGGACATGTTTAACTCACCTCTCCACTCTGGGACTCGAAAAGATCAAGGCAATAACCACTATCATCAAACATTAAACCAACATATAAAGGGAGAGAAATGTTCACATTTGATCACACAGGTTAAAGGCATATTAAGAAGAGGGAATCATATAGACAGTAAATAAATATAATAATTGTAGTAGAAACAGTGCAGCATAACCATTGATTGGAGTTTTTGCCCAGACAGTGGAATCAGAATCTAGAGAGGCAGTTATTCTAATAGATTAATCCAAAAAGTGATGATTTCAGGAGTTCTTTGTGAGACCAAAGAAAATTATATTGGTAGGCGAGGGGAACAGGGCATGGCAGAACTGCCATAGAACTAAACAGAGCTCCTCTGAAGAGCCCAAAAGTAGAACCCAGCAGTCATGCAGCATAAACAAATATGGGAAGAGACGAAGGAATGTCAGGCAGATGTGAAAAGGGGTTTTTATAGAGAAGGAAGATCTAATACTTTATGGTTTAAACAGAGAATGGAGATTTTTAACTCCAGCTAATTAGAAGTAAACATAGGGTATATCGTGGACAGAGTAATTTAAATTATTGTTTTTCCTTATCAGAACAATCTTGTACATAATTCCTTGGTTTAAAATCCTTCAATGACTCATTTCCCACAGAAGAGTCCAAAATTATTAGTATTTCATAATATGATCCCAACCTAACTCTCCAGGTATTGCTATCTAACATCTGTAGCTGGGGAAAAAAAGTTAGGTAAATAGCATTAAAAAAAACAAAAAAAACCTAGCATTTTAAACTGTCATCTTAAAAATGTGTGCCACCAATCCCAATTCAATTTAATTAATATTTTTTTCTTTACCTATTATGTGGAAGGCAATGTACTAGGTAGTGTAGAGAAATGATTTTCAAAACTTTTTACTATACCCCAGAGTAAAACACTTATTTTTACTTTGTGACTTATCTATATATACATACATGTATTTTGAAACAAACATTTAAAAAAATATATCCTTGCTACATATCCGTGATGCAATAGTATTTTCTGTTCTATTTTATTCCATTCTACTTTGCTTAAAAAAAAAAGATGATGGTCAACTCACTAAATTAGTTGGCTGTGAACTAATGTTGGAAAAACAATGTTACACAGCACTTGAAATGTGGCTGATGCAACTGAGGAAATGAGTTTTTAATTTTACTTCACTTTAATTTAAACCTGAATTTAAAAACAAAAGCAGTGCAAAGTACTTTTACATTAAACACAACTTAATTTTTCTGGTAGGACTACAGTTTACTCTAACAGCTGCAATGCTAAGATATTATTATAGTGTGCACGCTCGGGCATGTGTTGTTTCTAGTGTTATAACCCGTCACTGATCTTGGTGTCAATGAACTGATTCAGTTCTAATTATTTTTTTAACACACTGATGTGACATTGTAATTTGCTTATTTGAATATTTCACATAGAAAGAAAATAAATAGACTGAATTGGAAGAAGGTATGTTGCAAATTTCACAATGAATGGCAATGGCAATTTGCTGCAGTAGAGCAAAATGAAATGTCTGCTGTGGAAAAAGATTTTAAGATAATTAAGTGAATAATAATAAAAGGCATTTTCAGCAAATACATACTGAATATTATAAAAAGTTTCTTCTCAATGATCAAAAAAGAATCAAGAAAATTAGTTGCCTGAAATCAGAATTAAATGTCTAACAGACATTTAAATAATTTTTAACAGATCCGAACTTAAAATTTGGCCAGCTATTAAAAAAACCATATTAGATGGAGAGATGCACAAAAAAAAACCATTTTAGATGGAGAGATGGTAAAAGAAATTATTTTTTAGCTATAGAAATTTGTTAAAATTTATGAGGAAAAGACTTAAAAAACGTATTCTACAGAAGTTTCAGATCTTTAATTAAGCTCCAAATAATGGCCTGTAGTATATAAGACCTCTCTAATATCAAAGATGTAGGTTGGTGCGGTGCTCATGCCTGTAATTCTAGCACTCTAGGAGGTCATGGCTGGAAAACTGCTTGAGGTCAGGAGTTTCAGACCAGCCTGAGCAAGACCCTGTCTCTACTAAAACTAGAAAAATAAGCTGGTCCCAGTGCCCACGCCTGTAGTCTGAGCTACTCGGGAGGCTGAGGCAGGAGGATTGCTTGAGCCCAGAAGAAGTTCAAGGTTGCAGTGAGCTACGATGAAGCCACTGCACTCTAGCGAGGGCAACAGAGTAAGACTCTGTCTCAGGAAAGAAGAAAAGTGAGATTATCTTGAGGGCATCAGTCAAAACCATCCAATGACTCTAAATATAGTTACCTTAACAATCTACAAAAGCTCCGCCGATAACTCAGCCGCTGGCTAGCTGCAGCAACGCTGGGAGGAAGAGGAGGCCGGGGTGGGAAATAAGCTAGTGTTGCAGAAAATATTATGCAGACAACTCCAAACTCTGAAAGAAAAAAAATAAGTAAAATGTTAACCAGACAACACAGAAAGTTGAATACTTACAAGTATTTATTTATCTGACAAATACTTATTGAGCATCAGCTAAGCCAGAATCATATGAACATAAGTAAAGTACCTAGTCAAGATAGCTCAGTCTAGGAGAAAGATACAAAAACATAAATTTCAGCAGGTCATTGGAAAGAAGCCATACTATTAATATAAACAAGGAAGTATGGTGGTACTATGGTTCACTACATAGACAAAAAGATGGAGGGAGTAAACTAGTGTTATCCTACAGAGAAAACACATTAAAAACCAACAGCACTATACTGTAAAAGAGATTTTGAAGTAGGTGTAGGATGATTGTCTAGTAAGCATGGTACTCAGAAAGAAAGAAAAATGATACAGAAAACTGGTAAGAGCAGGATAGAAGGTTTGATTGATCAATGATAGGATATTCTGATGCATAGTGTAGGACAGATCAACTTACAGACTGTATGGGAAATTTGAACAAGACAAGAAAGCATCCAAAAATAAGAAATGAAGAGACAGAGAGCAGAATTTAAACATAAGACTATTGCAGAATATTAAACAATCAGAAGTAAAATGAACATCTAAAAATCTTAGTTTGGTCCCATTATAATAGAGAAGGTTCCTCGGCATCCTGATCTTTCCTTCCACAGTTCTGGCACTTGGAAGTCCCAGCTTTTGATAACTATGCACAATTTAGTGGAAAAGCACAGCACTAGTAGAAAAGTCAGGAAACTTGGAGTATAGACCTGCCTATGCCATTAATTAACTTGAATGGGGTGGGAAATTAACTTGAATGGGGGTGAATCCCTTACTGTCTGGGCCAACAAAGAGACTGAATTTAGTGATTTCTAAAGATCCTTTCACAGTTGGGTAATTCTAATTCTACAGCTATATTCTTAGCAAAAGGGACAATACTCCTATAAGACACTTAACCATACATAATTTTATTTAATTCAACTAGAAATCCAAAAATTCCTAATTCTCAAAGATAAGATTGTTAACAGATTCCTTTTTTCTTCCTCTTCTTCTTCTTTTTTTTTTTTTTTGGTGTTCTCAATCTCCTTATTCTTTGTCAATCTAAGGAACAATAAGAAGTTAATGAATTGTTTTAATTCATAGTTCTTTTAATTATTAATAATACTGAATTTGCATCTTCTGTATGCTTATTAGCCATTTGTATTTCTTTTTTTCTTTCAAGACCGGGTCTTGCTTTGTCACCCAGGCTGAAGTGCAGTAGCATGATAATAGCTCACTCGAACTCCTGGGCTCAAGTGATCCTCCTCAGCCTACTGAGTAGCTGGAACTATAGGTGCATGCCACCTTGCCAGGCATGTAAATTCTTCTGTGATTGCCTTATTCATATTCTTTGATCATCTTTCGGTAGGCATTTTTATAAATAGCTTCACTGAGATATAATTCACACATGTAAAGTGCACAATCAAATGGTTTTTAGTATATTCACACAGTTGGGCAACCATCACAAACAATTTCATAATTTTTTCATCATTCCAAAAAGAAACTCTGAACCCATTACTCCTAAATCTTCTAGCCTCAGGCAATCACTAATCTATTTTCAGTCTTTATGGATTTGAGTATTCCAGACATTTGTTATAAATAGAATCATACAATATGTGGTCTTTTTTGACTGGCTTCTTTCACTTAGCATAACGTTTTCAAGGATCATCCATGTTGTAGTTTGTATCAGTACTCCATTCTTTCTTATTGTAAAATAGTATTCCACTGTATGGATATATCACGTTTTATTTATCCACTTATCAGTTCATAGACATTTGGGTTGTTTCTACTTTTTAGCTATTATGAATAATGATTCTATGAAAACTCATGTATACATTTTTACATGGATGTATGTTTTCACTTCACTTGGGTATATACCTAGAAATCAAATTTCTGGGTCATATAGTAATCTGACACCATTTTACATTCCCTCAATATATGAGGGTTCTAATTTTTCCACTATCTCTAATTTTCAATTTTATTGATTATAGCCATCCTACTGAGTGTGAAGTGTACCTTACTATAATTTTGTTTTGCATTTCTCTAATGACTGATGGCAATGAACATTTTTTCACACGCTTGATGACCATCCGTATATGTTCTTTGCAGATATGCATCTGGGTTCTTTGCCTGTTAATTGGGTTGTCTTTTTGTTGTTGAGTTGTAAGAATTCTTTACACCAGGGGTCCTCAAACTTTTTAAACAGGTGGCCAGTTCACTGTCCCTCAGACTGTTGGAGGGCCGGACTATAGTTTAAAATTAACTATGAACAAATTCCTATGCACACTGCACATATCTTATTTTGAAGTAAAAAAACAAACAGGCAAAAACACCTCTATGGGGCCCGCAGGCCGTAGTTTGAGGACGCCTGCTTTACACATTCTGAATATAAGTCCCTTATCAGATCTACGATTTGCAACTATTTTATCCTATCTTGAAGGTTGTCTTTGCACTTTCTTGATGGGGTCCTTTGATGCACAAAAGTTTTAAATTTTGATGAAGTATAACTTACCTATTTTTCTTTTATCACTTGTGCTTTTGGTGTCCTTTTTAAAAAAAGACTTTGCTGAACCCAAGGTCATGAAGTTTTTTCTAAGAGTTTTATAGTTTTAGCTCTCATGTTCAGGTGTAATTTTTCCATACGGTGTAAGGAAGGAGTTCAAATTCATTCTTTTGCATGTGGATATCCACTTGTTCCAGTAGCATGTACTGAAGACTTCCCCTCATTGAATTATCTTGGAATCCTTGTGAAAAGTCAATTGATCAATGTAATAGTTTACTTTTTTTTGGAATCTCACTTCTATTCTATTGATTTACACCTCTATCTTTATGCTAATACCGTTCTGTCTTGATTAGTATAGCTTTGTAATAAGTTTTGAAAATGAGAAGTGTTAAGTTCTCTAATTTTGTTTCTTTTCAATACTGTTTTGGCTATTTCTGGTCCTTTGCATTTCCATATATATTACAGGATCAGCTTATCAATTTCCACAACAAAGGCAGCTGGGATTTTAATAGGAATTACACTGAATTTACAGATAAATTTGGGAATCTCTTCACAATATTAAACCTTCCAACCCATGAACATGGGATGTCCTTCCATTTTTTTAGGTTTTCTTTAATTTCTTTTCAACAGTGTTTTGTAGTCGTCAAATTATAAATTTTGCACTTCATTTATTATTAAATTTATTCCTACATACTTTATTCTTTTTGATGCTATTATAAATTCAATTGTTTTCCTAATTTCATGTTTGGATTGTTCATTGCCAATATATAGAAATAAAATTGATTTTTTACATATTAATCTTGTATCACAAAACTTTGCTGAGCTTGCTTTTTAAGATCTAACAGTTTTTTAGAGGATTCCAGGGAATTTTCTATATTTAAAATAATGTCATTTTCAATTTTTTTTTACTTTTTACGTTCCAATCTGGATACCTTTTATTTCTTTTTCTTGCCCAGTGATGCTGGCTGGAACTTCCAGCACAAGGTTAAAAAAACATAGTAAAAGTTCCTTGTCTTTTCACGATCCTAGAAGGAATGCACTCAGCCTTTAACCATTAAATATGATGTTACCTGTGGGGTTTTCATAGATACTTTTCATTGGGTTGTGCAAGCTCCTGTCTATTCCTAGTTTGTTCATTGTTTCTATCTTGAAAAGGTGCTGGGTTTGTCAAATGCTTTTTCTTCATCTATTATGACAGTCACATTTTTTCCTCTTTAATATATACATTCTTGGTGAAGTCGTCTCTGACCCCTCCAACTTCAGGTAAGTTATGTCTCCCAACCTCTAACTATCTCTATTTGTATTATAACTGTCTCACTATTGACCTTACCAACTTCCAGTGATTAGCACAGTGCTTAGTATATAGTAAACGATTATAAAAAGTTTTCTGAATGCAGAAGGAAATAATAAATAGGCATATAGGGAGAGGGGATAAATTTAAAGAAATTTGTAGGAGACTGTAATATAAGAGTGGACTAAGCCAGATGCAGTGGCTCACGTCTGTAATCCTAGCATTCTTGGGAGGCTGAGGTGAGAAGATTGCTTGAGGCCAAGAGTTTGAGACCAGCTTGAGCAAGAGCGAGACCCGTCTCCACAAAAAATAGAAAATTTTGCCAGGTGTGGTGGCACACACCTGTAGTCCCAGCTACTCAGGAGGCTGAGGCGAGAGAAATTGCTTGAGCCCAGGAGTTGGAGGTTACAATGAGCTATGATGACGCCACTGCACTCTAGCCCAGGTAACAGAGCAGGGGAAAAAAAAAAAAAGAGTAGACTAGGGCTTCGCTCTAGAAATAAAGAGAAAAGATCCAGGAGAATGTTCTGGGAAGGTCAATATCCCTGATTAATATACTAAACATACAGAGAGCAGGAAATGAAAAGAAGAGTAAACTGTAGGTGACCAAGGTTCATAAGGGTACAGAACATGGCAAGTAATGGCAAAATTGCAAGGGAGAAAATGGGCTTAACAGCTACCAATAGATGCATAACAAATAGTTATTGTCAATCAAGATATTTAGTTCTATATACTGGTAAGATATTTACAGAAGACATAGAACATGTGTTGTACAGTGCTTAATTGTAAGTGGATGAGAAGAGTCAAATTAAGAAATCACCTTCCATGTAGCAACAATACATTTTAAATTTAACTTCCTAGGAAGTGTTTTAAATAGGCATCTCCATATTATATGACAAGGAAAGCACATTATCTGCATATGTATGTATCAGTCCTCTAATAGAATTTCTTATGTAATGATCTCGTATACAAAAGGTAGAGTGAAGATTACTGGGATAAAAGACAAAGACTAACAAGAAGAAAATAAACTTCAAATTACCTGCATATAATACAGTCTCTATGAGATCTTTAATATGAGCCCTGCTACTCTCTGAAGCAAGAAGAGGTGATGTCCCATTGGGAGCTGGAACAACAAGTGGTCCAACTAAAAAGGCACAAGCTCCACCAAGATAACTAAGCATTGATGCAATGGCTGTGGCAGTGGCCCGTTCATCTGCAGAAAACCACGTCGTGGAGAGAAATGGTGCTGCATTCATTACAGTTGGACCCGCCAATCCATTTAACATCTGTCCTCCATGAATTAATCTGGAATTAAAAAAAATTAAAAGCTTATAAGGTATCTGAAACAGACATTTCCTAAGGCAAAAAGAAATTAGCCAAATAGGTGTTAAATATGTCAGTAATTATACTTATCTAAAGTATATGACACACCAGAAAGGCAAGTTGACTTACCTTCTAAAAGGTATGCTGATCCTCTATGAGTGAGATCAAATATAGTAATAATTACCATTTATTCATTTCACAAATATTTACTGAAGCCTCTAATTTGTGCCACATACAAAACTACTACTTCTTATACCTTCTTTAATTGTTATAACAACACCATGTGGTCGCTATTATTATCCCCAATTATTGAGATATGGAAACCTAGGTTTAGAAAGATTAAGAATCTTGCCTAAGTGCTGACAGGCATGAGATTTAGATGTAGGCCTGACTCCAAATTCCATACTTTTTCTACTAGACTGCCCCTCATTAACAGACCTAGTAAGTGCCACCAGCCCTACAAATAATATCGTTGAGCTCTACATTTCATACCTACTCCTTGCTAGGCATTAGAAATAAAAAACAAACAAACAAACAAAAAACACAACACCACAAAAAAAACCCAAAATCATCATGGTATCTTTTAATCTTTTAACAGAAGAGGAATTAGAGGACCTTGGTTCTGGCCAAACTCAGAGCCTAGCCCTGGGCAATATATAACTTTTTGGGATTCTATTTCTTCTCCCATAAAATGAAGATATTAGTTTAAGTTGAATACACATTTATTGAGCATCTGTTAGGTTAAGGTACTGTGATAATAGGATCACTAGGTCCCTTCCCAGTTGTCATACTTTGATCTGACTTTAATTGTAAGGATTAGTGAAAAATAGTTTCTTGCTTCCATTCCATGTTGTTTTCTTGCTCACTTTTTCTTTTTTTTTTTTCTTTATAATTTATTTATAATTTTTCCCTGTCCTGAAATAATGCAAGACTTTTTCTTGATATTCTACCAAGCACTCCTGTTCCTTGCTGACCAAACCCTTTACCCCAAATGCTCCCCCCACTGCAACATATACATTTATATTCAAGAGCAGCCTTGAAAGAGAAAAGCAGCTAGAAGTCCAAAAAAGTACAGGCAAGAAAGGGATATGCATCCACTTCTCCTGCCTTGGAGGGAGAGGAAAGGGAGGGGACAGTACATGTGATGTTTTCATGACACTACTCTTTTTTATCCTGCTTATTTTGCTTTTTAAGTACCATGTGAGTCTCAAATTCTTTTTTTTTTTTTTTTAACAATTGCTATCTTATGCCATTTAGAAAAGAAGTTTTCTAAAAGGAAATATGGGGAGAGGAAGGACCCTAACGTAGAAGCTGAAGCAAGTGGGAAGTGAAATATGCCACTTAGGGCTCCCCATGTCTATCTTCATAAAAATTGGAGAAAGTATTTGAAAGCAACATAGCTCATGTATCATTAATAATACTAAACTTTTTTAAAAAGGAAGACATTTTAAAATCTCCTTGTGTAAGGGGAACTATTTTTTTCTTTCTTTTTTTATATTTTTGGGGAACTATTTTCTGGATGATAGAAACAATTTAAACTATTTATGAAACCAAATACTTCTCCTAGAAGCCAGTGGATCCCAAGCTGTCCCATGGCAATTTCATCATAGAAAAGTTCTTGCAACAACGTCATGCAGTGGTTTTACTCATGACTCATGATGGCACAACAATGAGACAGTGTGTGACCCCTCATAAAGGTAATGCTTTGATAGTTAATGCCATTGATAAGGTGTTTGAAAGACTCATGTCAACTAGAAGGAGAAGGGTTAGAATAAGTAAATTATGTCTAAAAATGTTAAGGGTAGAAGGAGAACATGGAAGAAACGATCAAAAACAAAAAAGAAACTGATAAAACACTATGACTCCTTAGAGTGAAGATATAAAACTCAAATTATAACCACGACTTAACTCTGTTACCTCTCAGTGGAATCACAAACGGAATATTATTCAAGCAGCAAACATAAGAGTCACAGAAAGTATGAGAGTTTGAGATAATCTAAGGATCATCCAAGTTCAGTTTACTCAGTTTTTAGAGTATTTTTTACTACAACAAGGCACATGTGCTAAGGTAGTATCCAAAGAAAGAACAGCACTAGCACTAGGAGCATTTCAGATGGGTTCTCAGTTTAAAGGTCATTGAACTTGGGAGGCCAACCTCGGGCATATAAATTATCATAATTAAAAATCATCTCAGGAATTAAAACAAGCTGAAGTGGCATTTAAAAATTACTCCAATTGTAAATATTAACCCTTTGCACTCAGATGTCAAGCGTGACGCAACACGGTTAGCAAAAATTATAGAGATTAAAATTACTCTTTGAATGTATCAATAATTTGAAATATAAAAAAATCCAAATAAATAAGTTTGTATGAAAAGAAACTCCAGTTTTTTATTCTACTGCCGCACTTTGTAAAATCAGGGGTATTTAAAAAATTAAATCCCGAGTAGAATAAAGGAATCGAGAAAAAAGCAAGTGATAGAATTATGTGCTTTTTGCATTAAAAGTCATCATGCACATTCTTCACAAATGAGCTCAGTAGGAAAACTGCGGCCTATAGGATCCTAGGGTTAGCCTCTGAATTCATGAAAACCTTACAAGGAAACCCAGTCTCATTCTTCCCAGAACTTTTCAGGTTTTCAGAACTTAATCTTGCTCCTTTTCACATTTATATCCCAGAGTCCCTCAGGGCTTGGCCGTTACTAATATGTTATAACTGGTCATAAGCACTGTTGTCCTGGTGACTGTGATGTTATACTAATCTATAATATGATTTTCATATTTGCCTGACACTATTTTCTACCACCTAGCATTAAGTTACCCTATTTTATAAAAATTCACTTGTAAAAAATAGTTAAAAATAAAATTCTGCTTTAAAGTTTAGTTTTCCTATTTAATGATACTGCAAAATTAGTGATTTTTTTAAGAAAAATACTGGCCCTAAAACATAATAAAATCGTACAAATATTACTATAAACTCTATATTAATACAATGACAAAAAAGGAAATGAAATAATTATAAAATGTTCAATATAAGCTGCATTCATGATTAAATTTAACAAACATGTATTGAGTATTCACTGTGTGTTGGTTAGGCACTGTGACAGGAATATGAGAATGTAAAAATAAAACGCTAAAGCCCTTGCCGTTTAGAATAGGTTAAGGCTGGGCACGGCGGCTCACGCCTGTAATCCTAGCACTCTGGGAAGGCAGGCAGATTGCTTGAGGTCAGGAGTTCGAAACCAGCCTGAGCAAGAGCGAGACCCCGTCTCTATTATAAATAAAAAGAAATTAATTGGCCAACTAATATATATCTAGATTAGCCGGGCACCGTGGCGCATGCCTGTAGTCCCAGCTACTTGGGAGGCTGAGGCAGTAGGATCGCTTGGGCCCAGGAGTCTGCGGTTGCTGTGAGCTAGGCTGACACAACAGCACTCACTCTAGCTTGGCCAACAAAGCGAGACTCTGTCTCAAAGAAAGCAATAATTAGGCCTGGCCCTAATGCTTGTGGAGCTTGTGACAAGAATACCAATGGAGGCCCCTGCATATCCTCCTTCTCTTCTGACCTCTAGTCCTGGCCTATAACATCAGGGAACTTCACATGTATGCACCTGGAGCAGAAGGTCAAACTCCACCTAAGCTTCATCTAGCCCCTTCCAAACAGCTGCCTCTTAGCCACCCCTTGGACCTAGGAAGTACACACCAGGCTTCCAGTCTACCCTTGGAAGACAGGCCTGGGAGAGAGGCTTATTGCAAGCCTCTATAAGACCTGTTTCTGGGGTCTTGGGTAGCCAGTGCATACATTGGAGGGTGGAGGAGGGCAGCGTGTGTACATCCCCTTGGCCCTATGAACTTCTTACCCCATAGGGAATGGCAAGGCTGCAGGAAAGCCAGGACAGGACGCTCTCAGGCATGGAGTCCAGGACAAGGACCCTGTGGCAAAGTTCTAAGGTGGTACTGGCAGTAACAGTGGGGAGGTAGAGGAAGGGATGGTCTGGAGAACTGTTAAGGTATTATAATAGGTATGGCTAGGTGAGTGACTGCATATGGGGGTGCATCCACTACTTTGTAAAAAATGTCTAGTAAGTGCTGGATATAGGCCAGAAGATAAGGAAAGAAATCTGAGTTAAGAGATATATGTTGGGGTTGTACTGGGTTGGGCGACAAACACTGAAGAATATCGACATTTTTAAAATAGAGGAATAAGAGTCTAGAAAGATGATTGAGAAGGAGCAATTATAAAGCAGGAAAAAATAAAAGAGGAAAGACACTGGGGAGAAGTTTCAAGAAGATAACAGTGAGTAGTCAACAGTATCAAATCAAACAGAAAGATCGTTTATGATAACTGAAATGTAACCACTGAATCCAGCAAAGAGGAGGTCGTTTGTGATCTGAGTAGAAGCAAACAGTGAAATGTTGAGAATGGAAGCCAGATTCATGAGGAAATGGAATTTTGGATTTAGACTATTCATTCTAGAAGAAACAGATGCTGGGACAAAAATTAGGTATATAAGCTTAGTGAAGCAAAAACAAAAAACACCAGCTTAAATGAACAGTCCGCACAGAAAAGTCTCTCTGCCTTGGTACATTAAAAAATAAAATGCAACTTGTGACTATCCTAATGTTTCCTAAACACTCATGAGAGAAGTTGGCTTTCAGAAATTAAATTAAAATTTGTATAGCTGGAAGGGACTTCAGACCTTACCTAGATAACCCATCCCTTTCCAGAAAGGTTAATAACACATTGAAAATTACATTCATAATTTTATAACATTCCTTTCTCTAAAAAGTATCAAAGGGAGCTCCAGTCATATAACTAGCTAATGGCTAAGCCAGGACTAGAAATCAAAATTATAACTATGACTTATCAGTCCACAAATCTCTTTACTCTCTAACTTGGTCTCATTCTGAAGGTTCTCTGCTGGTAATAGTATAATAATAGTAAAAATCACTGACTGTTAAGAAAACACAAGATTCTCAGAT